ATTAAACCTAATTCATTTATGTACAATTTAAATAGGAAAATAAATAAATAAATAATAATTATTATTGTGGAAAAAAGGGAAATAAAAAGAATTAACAATTAAAACCTAAATTCTACATTTTTGGATTTTTATTAAAAAAGGAATTAAAATTAAAACCTAATTACACTACATAATTTACATTCTAATTTATTTATGAAAATAATTATAATGAAATAATATTATATTTTTTGTATTTTCTGATTTTTATAATGTTTTTATATTTTGAAAAAAATAAATTAATTGAATTAAGACAATAAAATAAATAAAACAACAAAATAAAAGTGAGAAGAAAAAATATAAAATGCAAACCAGGGTGGGGTGTTGCCCCAAATAAGGAGGTATAGGCCTGGAAATTCTGGCCCAATAAGAGTTGATTCGTTGACTTTCCTAATCATGTGCCAATGCGTTGATTTGCTGTATGCTACGCCTGGAATATTGGCCATTGATCTGATCATCGTGGACGCGTGGATGGTGAACTTGGAGTGTGCATGGTGAACTTCCATAATAGCGCTGCATATGAACAATTATTGAAAAATAATATGGGACTTTTGCCAGACCTGGGACTTGAACCCAGGTCTTTGAGGTCACCAGCGTTGCTCCTGTCCACTGAGCCATTTTGTTTCATTTAACATATAATATTAATTAAATAACAAAAAGCAAGATCAATGCATAATGGGCAAAACGCGCGAAATTTTGAACGGACGTATCACTGATTGACACGCCATCTTCTTCCTCACCACCCCTGTAACATAAAACAAGAGAGCAACGGTTTTTGAAACGTTGTTTTAGGGGGTATTCAAGAAAATAGCGAACAGCTCCCTGTGGACCATAAATTGTTCGCGAGGTATGTGTTTTGTTCAGAAGAATACGCTGAATGCAATGGTAACAATCTTGAGTCCCAATTGTTCCTTGGGTGAGAAACCCCAAATCAAGAACTCTGAAAACCTAAATTTCAATCATGGTGAATTCGTATATATAGCACAAAAAAGCAATTGAATGTAATGGTTAGCTCAGAAACATCAATATGAACATGAATCCATGAAAAAAAATGCAAAAGAATGCTTAAATCGTGTTATGCGATTTGGAAATTTTTGTGACAAAGTCTGAGTTCCTGGTACCGTTTCAAGGCGTTTGGCTTGTTGTTTTTGATTGAGAAACGTTTAGGGATGTCTCAGGATGCCAATGAAACAAAAATCAAAGCTTGAATCGGCCTAAAAGCTAGATTTCAGTTTTGAGTTTTTTATGAAAATTTTCAATATGCAAAAGGGTTCTTGGGCGCAGCTTGCAGTCTCCTTGGCATTAGGTCTTGTTCTTGTATATGTAAGGAATGATTTAGGTCAAAAACTTTGCACAAAATCTCAAGCATTCATGGATTTCAATATTTGATTTTGGAAAATCTTTTTCATATCTTTTTTCATGTTGTTTTTGTTCAATCATGATCCAATCTCATCCAAATTTGCCTAATTGGGATATGCACGAAATATTAAGAATAAACATGCATGAAAAGATTTTTTTAGGTTAAGTTTGATATTTTTCATATATTAAAATCATTTAAATGAATATAAATTAATATTAATTCAAATAAATAATTAAAAAATATGAGAATACTTCCCTTTGGGCCTAGTAGTCGTGCATAGGCTTGGCATGAAAAAACTTGGAAGAAAAATGGGCCCATTTGCATTTTTAGGCCTTTTGCATCAATGTTGACTTTCAAAAATTTCCAAAAATTTCCCAACTTCCACAAGGCATAACTTGGTCAATTTTTAATCTTTCCACATGTTCTTGGACATTTTGGAAAGGTCTTTGAGTCCTTTAAACAATGCCTTTGGTCCCATGTCATTTTGATTTACCAATCTCAAGTTATGGCCTTTGACTTAAAGTCACTTTTTGTTGACTTTTGAAAATGACCTATAATGTTGAAATTGATAACTTTTTGTGAGAGCATTTCTTGGACTTGGAACATGAAGATGAATTGTAGGAAATGTCTTTCTCTTCAAAATGAGCTTTGGATGGAATTTTTCTGATAATCCATGTGAAAGTTATGCCCTGGTCAATTTCAGTTGACTTTTTCAACTGTCCAAATATAGTAACTTTTGCATCTTTGATGATTTCTGAGCCAAATTTTGAGAATCATGATCAAGCATTGATCAAATGATGTTTGTGGCTTCAAAATGATATATTGACCAAAAATTTGAACTTTTGACTGTCAAATGACCATTTTGCCCCTACAGTTGACTGTAGTGCAATCTAGGGTTTTGACTGTGCAATTTTGAGCTGAATGCCTTGAAACTTGACATGAGGATACTTGACCATCTTTGTAAGCATATGAGACTTGATTGGGCCTTTGAAAAGTTCATTTGCTTGACCAGAACTCAAACCCTAGTTTTTGACTGTCTAGGAGACAGTTGAGCTGCACAACCCTGGGGGAATTTTGTGACCTTGACTTTGACAATTCTTGATGAATATGGGAGGGCAAATTTTGGGGTACAACACCTCCGTCTGGGCAGGCTCACCTGCAGCTTCTTTTCCTCGAGTCCCAGATGACTCATTGGCAGGGGTAACAAATAGAGTAAAAACGGGAGTAGTAGCTGAAGTATTAGCAGGAACAGCAGATGGAATAACAACAGGCTTATTGACAGTTGTAATACCCCAAATTTGTCCTACCTCTTTACTTCTATTTGGCTTAAGCTTTTGCATTCATCTGCATATATTTTATTAGACCAATTAACACCTCATGCATCACTAATCAATAAATTTAACATGTGATCAGGGATTTCGAGGAATTAGGGTTTCTCTATGCACCTAGGCTCCCATCTTCACGCAAGTCTGGGTCAATATGTTTCATTAGTAATCATGGTTTGGTATTTAAATCAAGGGTCGTGGAGATCAAGGTTTCGCTTGTACATTAGGATTTCTCTATCTTTTGCAAGGTTTGTTTCAACTAAGAAAGCTCAAGAATCTTGATAAGGTTTTATGCCCTATGCTCAATAACATCCGACGAATGCTCACGACATGACTGTACATCATCAGATATTCTTGTCTCTTCAAGACTTTGGCTTCACTAATCCATCATGTGAAAGAAGTACATGGTTGCCTACAGCATAAGGCATTCCAAAGTCTCATCCTAATGACCATGAGCTAGGGAATGAAGATTCTATAAGCATCATATTCCTGTACTCATCATCATCATTTGATTAGGGTTTATTTCCCTAATTAATGTGCTATTCAAGTGGAATGCTCAGTGAAGTCTTGGGTTCATCAATGGATATCATCATTTAATGGATTTCATCAAAGTGAAAGTTATTGAAGGAAACTTGGTGGCATACATGGTAAATTAAGGGTTCATTATATTAGGGTTTCTTATAAGAGATTATGTTTACCTAAAGCTCTCAGGGATCATGGACAAAGATGCATTTCATGGTGTTTGCAGTGATCAATCAATTTTAGAGATTAATGATCAATATAAGGTGTCCCACTTTAATAATCAGAACTACATTGTGCTATCAACTTAAGGGTGTTACAAGTCTTCCTACTAGGTCTTATACGAATCTTTGGATTTTCATCCATGATTTCATTCAAATTGTTATGGGCAAGGAAGGAACCAAAATATTTCATTTGAAGACATTCAAGCATCCAAAATAGTGAGGTTGAAGAAAAAGATTAAGGTTGTGCAAGTTGCAATTTGAAGATTGTTTTGAAATGTCAAATAAAGAAAGTCCTCTCACATTATTAAAGATCAAGACTTCATGAGTCAACCAATGAAAAGTGCTTGAAACTTAGAAAGAGAAAGATGTTTCGGAAAGTGTATCATTTGGATTTACAAGGTTACAATACAAGATTACGGTGTATTGCCATGTTTCAAGAACTTTGTTACCTTGCCAAGTTTCAAATACTTCATTCCAATTACGCCACAAAATAAAAGTCAAGTATATTACAAGAATGCTTCAAGTTTTCATTGACATCCTTCAAGTTTCATCTACAACATTCATGGTTACATTCAAGTTACACGTAAAACAAAGCATAAACCTATCCTAAGTCTTCAAGAACAATGCTCCACGGCCAATTCTTCTTTCGAACAACTCTTCATACCACTTGCTACTATGTGTTGAACCATGATATTTTCATCATTTCCTTCAAACCCCTTGCCATGAAAACGGGCCTGTATCACCCAAAACAGCTTGCATATAACAACTCAAACCAGTTGAAATTAACAGCAAAAACCAATTCAAGAACTTTTGTAACAGAAAAACAAAAAGGAGAGTTCAAAATTAAATCAGAAAAGAGAGGACGAGGACGTCAAAAAGAAAATAACAAAACAGTCCCAAAAGAATTCCTAACTACCTTTCAAACCCTCGCTCTCCTAACAGTAGCCTAACTAATTCCAACTGTCAAATAACCGCAACGATCTTCTAATTCCTCATAAACCTCTAACCATTTCATAACCGAATTACCAACCAAATAATCCAACATTAACAGAATTTCATAACCAACTGTCCACAACCTCTCTAATAACCCCTAACCTATAACCAACTTCTAACAGAAAACTATCTTAGCCCAACTAACCAAAGCAGTTACTAACAGAATCCAAAAACTCAAACAAATTTTCCAGACATAACAGAACTGATATACACAATAAGGGATACGAGTCATTCATGACAGGAAATAGAAAGAGAAGAAACTCAGAAGAAGGATATAGGATTCAACACAGAAAAACTTAGAAAAATTTCCTTTCATTCTCTTCATCACCGTCGTGATCCATTCTTCACCTTCTGGAAGGATCAACCACCATTTTTTCACTCATCAATCTTCACTCTCCTCATTCATCTTCATCTCAACATTCTTCCCATCAAGAAACTCATCAGAAAATCACAGAGAATCCTCATCACTCTTCTCTTTCGGCAAGCTTCTCTACAACTAAATTTGAAACTTCATCTCTCTATGGAATCAGAGTTCTCTCATCATCAGTATTCTTTAACCACTTCAAACTTCTTGATTCTCTTCAACAAACCTCCAATATTTGAAGCTCCACTCATTGACCAATTGTAAACTCTAAATCTGAGTTTATTTCTTAGTCTCCACATTCTTTGAATCAACAACAACAATAACTGCATAACAAGAATGCAATAACAACAACAGTTCAAATCACAGATGAAGAAGAAGTGATCTAAGCAGAACAATCATAATCAGAAAAGGTGGAAGAAGAAAGCGGAAACGCGAAATTGAACGTACCTGAATTGATTCATCTGGATTTTGCAAAGAAGAAGATTCTCTAATTTTCTTATCATCTTCATCAATTTGAAGAACCATCAGTGGTACTTCGATCGATACGTGTTTCATTTTGTTTGCAGTTTCTGTTTTCTGCTGAGCTTGAGTCAAAGACAAGGGAGAAAGGGATGGAGCTTCAAATCATTGAACGGTGGAGCCATGGTGTCGTCGTTGTGATGAATGGTCGAGGAAGAGAAGAAGTTGAAGCAAACTGCGACAAAGGAAATACGACATCGTTGTGAGGATCTTCCAGTGGCGAAGTGAAATAAGGCAGAGGCGATCAGAGAGACAAGAGGAAGACGGAGCAAACTCAGCTTCGAAGATGAAGTAAACCGCGATGGATGAGCAGATTCGAGCGGTGGTATTTAATTCGATCAAATCTCTGAGTCGAAGAAGATGATGAAGGAAAGTGTGCCGCGGACTGAGAGGGAAGAGAATGTTCAACAGTAGCAAATTGGGAACCCTAGATGAATGACATTGTGTCCTCTCGTTTCAGTATTTTTCACGTTTATTGCTTCTGTAATTATTTAATTTCATTTTTGTTATATAAACATTATGCTAAAAAAATAAGGAACAGTTGGGTGGATTGCTTGGACCGAACCTCAACTATTCCCAAGCCCGTCATCAAATTTTTTTGGTAGCTTTTAGATTGGGCTTAGCACTAATACTCTGATTGCTTCTGTATACCCCCGGATTTCAATTTTCACCCCCTTAATACTCATATTTCCCTTATTAAATTTAGGAATTTCCCTTTTAATTTTCCTATAACAAAAAAAGTATAAAATCATTAAATTTGTTAATTTTTAATGGTTCTTTTAGAATTTAATTCTTTAATTTTTGATGGAATTTTTCTTCACAAAAAAAACTAATGAAAAATAATAATACTTTTCCTTTTAGTTCTTAAAAAACTAATAAGTCAAAAAAATCCTTTTTCTTTTTTAGTTTAGTTTTTATCCGCATTTTAGTGCCGCTTCACCATATTATGTTTTGATGTGTTTGCTCATTGTGCAAGGTACATTTTTGTGTTTTCGATCACGTAACACAATAAGTAGTTATATGATCAAAGTATACGGCTTATACTCATTTCTGATGCGACTCGCTTTTTTCTCATCGTCCTGAGAAAGTTCATATCGTGTTATATGTTGTCCTGACGCGTGTGATGCTTTATGAGCTTTGTGCAGGAACTTCTGATTATGCTTTGCACTCGCAACATGTGTTTGTCTTTATCTTAGTCGTATATCATTTCTGACTTTATTTGTTTCTTGGTGAAGCTTGCTCGACGCGTACTCCCGGCTTCCCTAGCGCTTTCGTCTGCTCTTGACGACTTGCTCACTTTGGTAGTCGCCGCTACTACCCTTGTATTTCTTTGCATTTTATTGCATTCCGTTATTGCTTTCTAGATATCATGAGAAGTAGGAAATAAAGAGCGTGCGCTCGAAGTCGCTGTTTAAAGACTTGTAGCAGGCATTCCGCACTTCATTTGCTATATGTGTTGTGCTTGTGTTTGTTTACTTTCTTGTTGATCGATGAGTCACTCAATTTAGGAATTGAGATCACGACTTCGCTCTCATTGCATGCTCCCTGTAGGATTTTGTCACTTTCCTTTATTTCTTGTGGATCGATGAGTCACTCAATTTAGAAATTGAGATCACGACTTCACTCTCATTGCATGTTCCCTATAGGATAGTTTTGTTAGACTTTCTTTTGGCATGCTAACTTAGATAGGATCCATCTAGGTGTGCTCTCTTGAGCTTACCGGGTTGCTTGCTTTATCCTTGTACATACCATGTTCCCTTAGGATGCTCTTGCTCCGTTCGGACGCAAGTTAGACCTTAGGTTGTAAACCATGCATGCTAACAGTAGGTAGAAATTTCCCCTTTCATCCTTGACGTAGGACTACCATTGTATGATAACATTAGGTTAGAGATAGGCTAGTCTCCCTTAGACTCTTTTCTTTCCCTTTTCGCATCCTCGCATCTAAAACTAAAACTTCTTTTCTTAGCAAATCAAAAACATGCTAATCATACTTAAACCCTTTTTCAAGGTAATAAAACACAAACCAATTCAAACCATTTGTGCGCTCGAGCACCTTTTCTCTAAAACCCTTTTTAGGTAAGGACGTGATTAGTTTACTTCTGTGCCAACGCATAAGTCTCCAAAGGTTGAGCTGCGGCAGAAGGCGTAATTAACATTGCCCATAAAAAACACAAAACAAACAAAAACATGTGAGCCGAACTACGATAGCTTTGATTCCTCAAAAAGGATACGTAGGCATTGGGGTAGGGCTCAAGCGAGTACAATTTTATTTTCCCTACATTCTTTTCTCCTTTCCTTTGCATGCATTCTCCCTTCAGTAGTATAGTAAACAGTAAGCATAGATTAAACACACCCATAAGATAGATAACAAGAGTGGATACCATGGAGTACTACGGGCGTGTGGGGTGCTAATACCCTCCCCTCGCGTAACAGACTCCCTTATCCGATTGCTCGGTCACAATACCGTGACTTCTCCCTTCTCAGGTTTTCTCGATGTTTACCTTTCCCTTCATATGGGATGAAAGATGTTCGATGGTGACTTTATTGTTTGATGATTTTCAGCCGGTTGTTTCAACAGTCTTTGGGGAAATCTCAGGAGAGAAAACCCTTCCACTTCTGGTAATCTTGCTGGTCCCGACAATGTTGCTAAGATCAGGATCATCCTCTGTATTCTTCAAGTCTTGTTTAACGCCATGATAGTAAATCTCGGCACCATAATGCTAAGGGACAACTTTGTCTGAGGCGTATGGGACAAGACCAGGACAAGTGATTATTAACGGAGCGACTCTCGAAGCGGGCGTAATCCTAACAGGTCTTCTCGAGGAAGCCTTGGAAGGATTGGTGGAAATGGTTATAATAGCAATATCTTCACACGGAACAGTTGGAATCAAAGTCTTTTCGAACAAAATTTCTTTGTTGTCCATCAGGCGTTGGACACCTGTTTTCAGCAAATAGCAACCAGAAGGCAGAGATGAACACATGTTGCAACCTTCGCCATAACCCGGAAATAAACCAACCAACAACAAATTCTTCTTAACAGTCATAAGAGGAGTAGAAACTTCATCAACTGAGGTCACGAACAGATCGGTATCAACAGCATTAACTCCATGGTTGTGCTTAGGCATGGGAGCAGTTATGACATTGGGCTTCTCCAAAGCATCGAACTCAATCTCCTTGGCTTCAATCAGATCTTGTACTTTGTTTCTTAGAGCCCAACAGTCATTTGTATCGTGACCAGGACTCTCAAAATGATAGGCGCACCGAGCATTTGGATTGTACCAAGGAGATGTGGTATTAGGATTCTTGGGATCCTCTTTCAAGGTTTCCAAGTTGGATCTTAGCAGATGGGCTAGAATCTCAGTCAATGTCATGTTAATCCGGGTAAACTTCCTTTGCGATCTTTCTACCCTTTGCTTATTGTTTCATTGTGGAGTAGCCGCATGCCTAGGTATCATCATAGCACCTACTATTGAATGGTAGTCAGTTCGGCTTTGACCTCTTGGGCTATAAACGACACTGACCTCCTTCTTAGCCGTGAAGGGGTTCTTTTCTGAACTTGACGAGGTATCTTTCTGTATTTTACCGCTCCAGATCCCAGCTTCTACCCTCTCTCTAGTTAATATCAGCTCAGTAAAACCAGCCAATGAGCTACTGATCAAATGGTTGAAGAATGGACCAGACAGCGTCCCAAGAAACATGTCGACCAACTCCCTATCAGACAAAGGGGGTTGGACTCTTCCAGCCAAATCTCTCCACTTCTATGCATAGTCCTTAAAGCCTTCACCTGCACCCATGGATATACTCTGAAGTTGAGTACGGGTAGGGGCAAGGTCGGTGTTGTATTAATACTGCTTATAAAAAGCAGCGGCCAAATCCTCCCAATTTCGGACATTGGTTCCCTCTAATTGGTAGAACCATTCAAGCTGAGTCCTTGACAGACTGTCTTGAAATAAGTGAACCCACAAGTTCCTATCAGTAGTGTGAGGCTGGATCTTCCTCACATAGGAACGGAGATGAAGCTTGGGACAAGACACCCCATTATATTTTGCAAAAACCGGAGCTTTAAATTTTTGTGGGATGACTACCCTGGACACCAATCCCAGCTCTTTAAAATCCAGCCCTGGTATTCTCTGGATCTCCATAGTGCTTAACCGATCCTCTAACTGCTTGTACCTATCCTCATTGGGAAGATACTGCTCATCATTGTAGTCTGTATCATTGTCAAAGACTTCAGGACTAGGGTTCTCCTCCCTTGTTTCTCTCTCTTGATTTTCCCCTTCTTTGGACAAGGAGGTCAGATCGAGTGGTTGCTTTAGCGGCCCCTAAAATCTTCTGCCCATATTAAGGGCACCAGCAAGCTTCTTCTTCTTCTTCTTCTCTTTCGGGATGAGGGCCTTTAGATCCTCCTGCCCTTTCGCCATAGTTATGAACATCTGTTGAAATTGGGCATTTTGTGCCTGAAGATCTTTGATGCTTTGTTCGGAAGACATTTTTGTTGAAATAAACAGCGAAGGAGATGAGAAACCTGTAATGGTACCTGCTTATGCAATGTTATGGATGATATGTGTATGCAATGATTTCAAGGAAATTAGAGATTCAAAATTGCTTTAGACAAAAAGGAAACACACGTTATATTAATAAATTAAAGCTTGAGTACATCATGCCTCTTTGGCCTTACAAAGAAATACAAAAACTCTAAGATAAAAAGGTTGTATGCATCATCTTTGGTGTGATGTAGGCGTTTAGAGTCCGCTCCTCATGAAGTTGTTTGGTGAGCTCCAGATTCTTCTTCTCGCTGGCGTAGAATTGGGCCTCGAAAGTGTCTCGTTCCCCCTTAAGCTGTATATAATCCCTTTGTAAGTCTTCAAGAGAGGTGGGCATGTCAGCATGCAGGATAGTGTATGGAACATTTCCTTCCACAACAGGCTCTATGATTACCGGGAGAATAGAGGGGTAAAGCATCATAAGACTTTGAGCACGAGCTCGTGCCCATTTGAGGTAAGGCTCAAGAGGGATGGAATTCTTGTGCCCAAATG